GTAGAGGGCGAGCCAGTTCCTTCCCTTGGCCAGTAGAGGGCGAGCCAGTTCCGCCCCTTGGTCAGTGACTTGGGATTCATCCCATCCCCCGTTCCCTCTGTTTCTCTCTAGTTCCCAGCAGTTTTCCCACTTACTGGATCACTAAGATCCTAGACCCAGTTGTGTAAACTTTAAACAGCAGCAGGAAAGTGGTGCAGCATGATTTCTTCGCCCCCCCCCCCCCCATGAGACTTGACAAGGTGAAGGAGGTCCTTCTCGGCACGTTGGTGGCAATCTCAGCTTTTTCTGTCCCCGGATTCTCCCATAACGGGCCCAAAGGACTTAACTTGAAGCTTCCATAAGTGGGAAAAGTTTGGGGTCTTCAAGGGTTGGGTGGTGATTCTCAGCGGATCACCAGGGAGCTGTTTCTTGTTCAGTGCCCACAGCAGGAGCCACAGCAGGGCAGCTCCCCTACAGAAACGCAGAGACTTGCATGTAGCTACAAGTCTGCGCAAACCCCTACAAAGAAGACTTGCGGCTTCTGCTCTTGGAAGGTGTAACAACCATCATTCCTTTTAAGGGAGAAGCTAAATCTGTGAACAGCATTTGGGCTTTGAGACTGGACAATTAGGAGTCTTAGACTGTGCGTGCGTGCGTGTGTGTGTGTGTGTGTGTGTGTGTGTGTGTAGATAAGGGCTCTCTATGTAGCCTAGACTGGCCCTGAACGTAATGTCCCCCTGCCTCTGTAGCCCGAGTGCCGTGATTACGTTGTGCCCATGGGGGCCTGCGCTGTTTTATGAGACTAGGGTTTGTTGTGTAGTCCATTCTGGCCCAGAACTCGGGCTCAGCTGAGCCTCCTGCTCCAGCCTGTGGAGTAGCTGCATCTGTAGGTGGGTTCCGTTGTGCCCAGCTCTCTCTCGGGAGCCTGTATTTGTTTTTTTTTGTTTATTTTAGTTCACTCTGCTTGCATCATTTACATGTTCATAAAGCCGTGACTGGTGACTCTTCTGGGCATCTCATTGCAAAAATTCTTTCTGCCTCCATTGTTGTCTCTGGGTGGGTTAATCCTGCATCAGAAAACAGAGTTCCTCTGGAAATGGCTGTTTCAGTCTGTTATATTCCTGAGCACACACACACACACACACACACACACACACACACACACACACACACAACACAACACAACACACACACACACACACACACACACACACGCACACACACAAATACATAGTGACACAGACCTGTAATCTCACCACTTGTGAGCCTCAGGCAGAAGGATTGGGCACAAGTTCAAAGCCAGCCTGAGCAATATAGCTAGACCTGTCTTAGAAAATCTAGCTGCAATTTATTTCTGTAGAAGAGAAATGACCGGATGAGTCGAAGTTGTCCACGTTGTGCTCATCACCAACCACACCCTTGTGAGGGCCAGTGAAATGGAGCACCACTGTGTGGGCGGGCGTTCAGTGTACTCAGTGTCAGTGTCCAGTCCATAGCCACGCCCTCCCTGCAGGTGGTCGGGGCCAGGATTTCTTAAGATTCTTAAATTTAGTAACCAACCCTTGTGCTTCAGTTTGAACCTGTGCTATCCTGGAAACTGTATCTGGAGTGTGTATCAATGTCCCGTGGATAGTTGATTTTAGAGGGATCAAATGACCCAAGCTTTCCCACATTCAACATGAGGTTCTTCCCTCCTTTGAGTACCTACCACTCTCCCTCTGCTCCCATGTCCTCAAGGCCTTAGAGAATGAATATTGTCCTTCTGAACTAGAGTCGACCCATAGCAGTCCAACCCCTCACTTCCAGGCAGTGCTAGTGTGTGTGTGTGGGTGTGGGTGTGTTTGTGGGATTTGTTGTTGTTGTTGTTGTTACTATTGTAGTGTTCTGAGTTGAGCCATCCTGCTTTCCCCAGGGGTTTTTCTGTCCCCACATCTCTCACTTCACTCCACGCCTGCCCCTCCTCCTCATCTCTGGTGTCCCCAACATGAAGCTGGAAGGAAGGACACTTTATTGAAGATAAAGAAGGGAAATTGTAGCATGGAAGAAAACAAGAATGGTTATTGGATTGAGTCTTAGACAACGCTGCTCTCCATTGTTCTTTGAAGAGGAATTCTCTAATAACCTTCTCCCTTAGGTCTTCACCATCTGTCCAATAGCTCAGCCATCCTTATTTTTAGGAATTCAGAAACAGGGCTTGAGCTGTGGTTCAGTGGTAGAATGCTCTTCTAGCACACTCAAGTTCCTGGGTTAAATTCCTAGGGCTGCAGGGCCCCCACCTCCCCAAAAGAAATTGAACCCGACACATTGCAAGTCAGTGGCTTCCTATCCTTGGAGGCAAGCCTACAAACACGGTCTAACCTAGTTTTTCTCCCATGAGGAGTCAGCTGTAGACTTGGCTGTCTGTAACCCCTGTCTGTGTGGTTGCAGTGTACCCGGATGAGTTCAAACAGGGTGGTGAAGGCAGACTCTTCTAGTCTCATTTCTGCTGCCATGGTAACACACCCCAACACAATTCAACTTGGGGAGAAAGGGTTATTTTAGTGTGCAATTCCAGGTTACACACCGTCATCACAGGGAGGTCAAGGCGGCAGGAAGTTTAAAAACGGTCTCATCACATCCATAGTCAGGAATAGAAAGAAAGGAAATGTGTGCGTGCTCAGCGGCTTGCTGGCGCCCAGCTCTGTTTCTCCACTCTGGTACGCTGCCTCTGCCTAGGGAATGGTGCCACTCACAGTGGGCGGGGGCAGTCCACACCCGTTAACTTAATGACGACAACTCCTCATAGGTCACCCCAACGTGGGTAGTCCCTCATTGAGACTCACCTGGGTTGTGTCAATTTGACAATTGAAGCTAACCGCCACACTTTCCAAACACTTCTCTTTAAAGTTCATTTTCAGTCAAGCTGGACACCAGATACTGTAATGCAAACATTGGACAGACAGCGTGTGTTGACTCTATCAAAGCTTTGACGTGATGAGCGGTTCATAGGTTTTTCTTCCTCTAGTGAGTGTCGTGTGATGTGAGAATTTTTAAGCACTTAAAAAGCCAGGGCCATTTGGGTTGAATCATTTCAGAAGTTTTCTCAGTTCTGCACACAGTGATTGCAACAGCTGCTTCTTCCTGAAGACAGAACACAACATTAGCACAGAGATGATTGCAAACTGATGATACCTTGGGTCTGTCTCATTGGACGTCTTCTCTCTGTGGAGAGGGTCCTTAGTTTACTGCTGCCTCAGGTAACTACCCGGCATCCTGTTTCCTTTTTCACAAGGGACCAGTTAATTTGAGAAAGAAATCGTTTCGGAAGTGTCTTGGGAAACTTGAAGGTTGACCGACCGGATTTCTCCTGGATAACTCACAGGGTGGGTTGTGGCAGAGAGGAATGTTCTGGATGTCACCAAAGCCCACCTCTCATGTTCCTACTGACCCCTGTGGGGCCCTGTCATGGTGCCACATGCGCGTCAACCAGCTCTGTTGCCCTCACCCGTGAGCTTGCTCATTTCCTTTGCTATTCTGGAGTTTTCGACTAACCGGCACAGCTAGACTGACTGTTGAAGTTGCTTCTTGGTTAGTTGTATTAGTATTAGTTAGTAAATAATGTAACAGTTGTAACTGTATCAGTTAGTAAATAATATAAGAAGAATATGCAGAAATGATGGCTATCACATTCAGTTGGGAACAATCAGGTGGCTGAGAGCAAGTCTGTTTTAGAACTCCCAGAATGCTTTGATCTTGTTCAGGTAAAGTTATCTGGTTCATTTTATTATCATAGTTGTTAGAGTGTGGCATTAGAGTTAAACCAGGTTCTTATCCCAACTAACTAGTTGTGTGACATTATTTAATCTCTTTGTTTGTATTTTTCTTATTTCTCTCCGTGGTTTTAGACTATGAGTTTTAAGGGAAGATGTGAACAATGTCTGTTCGTCACAGACGGGGTACCCCCAAAACCAAGGATGAGTCCACCTAAGTTCAGCTTGCTGAACCAAAGAGTTATTGGGGTTACTTAAGCTTAGACGAGGGATTCTTTATAGAACACAAAGGCACTGCATTGCCAGAGAACCCACGCTAGTATGGGTGATGGCCCTGAAAGCTGCATCCCTGAAGATTCCTGGACAACGTGTGGGCTGTTACACCACTGAGGAGCCGCCACCCCAGCCCTTGATTACCAATTATACCCATGGCGAGGGGAGGGGTCTCAGAGCCACCCAACATTCTTCTCCTAGAGTGAAAAAAAAATGAGTTAAAGGAAAAAAAACCAATGATTTGCAATGATCACAATACTCAGAATCAGCTACTTATATCCGTTGACTATGTTACCTTTTAGTCATTTTTCTGTGTTCCCAGTAGAAGATACCCTACTGATATAGGCAATTTTTTATTGGGATGTCTGTGTTGTTGAGTTAAATAGACAATTAAAGCTTGCACGTTGGTGTTTGATCCGAAGTCAGGAGTTGACCGCTGGCTGTTAATATAGTTATCTCCTTCTGACCTTCCCATCCTTGCTCCTGCGTGTGTGTGACTCTATTAGGAGGAATATAATCCTGGAAAGCTGAGAAACTTAGAAAAATGCTTTTTTTTTTTTTTAGATTTATTTATTTTCATTTTATGTGTATAGGTGTATTGCCTGCATGTATGTAGTGCCCATGGATGCCAGAAGAGGGCACTGGATCCCATTGGATCTAGAGTTACAGACAGTTGTCAGCCACAATGCGGGTGCTGGGAATTGAACCTGGGTCTTCTGGAAGAGCGGCCAGTGCTGAACCATCCCTCTAGACCCCAAGTTCCCTCTTTTTTGAACAAACTATTTACCTTTTTAAGGATATATTTGCAACTCCCAATTTGAGGAGCTGT